GTCACAAGAGCGCTTCTGGAGGCAAGGGAGACAAAGCTAAAGGAGTACAATACCGCGAGAACCGAGCGTCTGTACCTTCAGGCTGGCCTTACAGCGGAACTCACCGGGGAGTTGGCTTCGAAGCACTTGTCGGCGAAGGTTCGGGCACGGAAAGCTCGTACTCAGATCAAGGAGCTTAAGGTCGGTGCAGGGAGGGTGTCCGGCTCGCAGCAGATCTTGGACGCAGCCTCCGCGTTTTTCCGGAACATCTTCGGCAAGGACCGCCGTTCTGACTTCTCCGACTGGGACCTCTCCTCACTTCGGCGGTTGGATGGCGAAGTTGCGGAGATTGTGTCAGCAGATTGGACGGAGCAGGAAGTTAAAAAGGCGTTCGCAGCAATGGCAAAAAATAAATCACCGGGGGGAGACGGGTTGCCAAAGGAACTCTTTGAGGCGCACTGGGATTTGCTGGGGGAGAGCTTCATGGCCCTGGTGAAGAGCTTCGAGGCGTCAGCCACCCTGCCAACAGAGACCAAAGAAGCGGTCACTATTCTGCTGCATAAGAAAGGGGAGAAGGACGAGCTTGTTAAAGTTTAGAAGAAAGAAGAGGATTGCACTAGCAAGAATGAGGATACAAATAGCAAACCCTAGAAGGGTTGTACTCGCTATAGAGCACCCCACTACAGGCTAGAGCATAAGATAACATTCTGACACACCCCCATAGCCAAAGTGGGGTGTAATCAGCAGAGTAAGCAAAGGAGTACAAGCTCAGGGTGGATCACAATGTCACCACACATTCTGAGCACAAGTTCAAGAAGCAATAGTTTAAGTTCACAATTATGAGCAAAGCTAGTGGTAGTCACAACGGGCAAGTGAGGAGGAGGAGAGAGAGTGAGAGGAGAGGAGATAGGAGGCGACGGCTGAAGCTGCAGACACACAGGCAACAGGAGGCAGACTGGCACAGCGGCTACCGGACGAAGTCCCCGGAATACAGGAGTAACAGGCCCCGCGGCTAAAGTAGCGGCAGACGAGCAACGGACCCACGGGCGGCTGGCACAGCTGGCTACGACTGGGCTACCGGACGAAGTCCCCGGAATACAGGTGCTGCTGGCGACACGACGGCAACCTCCATTCAGCTTCCCCAAACTATCCCACTCCCCCCTGGCACATACCCGCTGCTACACCGCTAGCTCCACTCCCCCTTCACCCCCCCTTAGTACCACTCCACCGGCTCCAACACGTCCACCCCCCCTCAGCGGCAGCTGCAGCACAGGGAGACGGAGGAGGAGGAGGAGCAGGGAACAGTACACAGTGGGTGCACCCCCATACCCCGCACCCCCAAACCCTAATACAGGAGAATGGGGAGTAGGAGGGGTGGGGCACGAGTAGAAGCGCTGGGGGACAGTAGGGAGGGCAGGGGCAGCAAGGAGCGGGCCCACCACGGGCCTGGTAGGGTCGCCCGAACCGCGCGTAGGCGGCCTGAGCCGCGCGCGGGCCTGGCGCCGCCCGTACGGGCCGCGCGCGGGCCTGGCGCAGCCCGTACGGGTGGCGCGCGGGCCTGGCGCAGCCCGTACGGGTCGCGCGCGGGCCTGGCGCAGCCCGTACGGGTCGCGCGCTGCCTGTACGGGCCGCGCGCAGGCCACGACGGGCGACGGGGGGCGACGAACGGGTCCCCGTCGCCCGTCGCGGCGCCTCCCGAGGGCGACGCGACGGTTGACGGGGCCGAAGCCCGCCGCGCGCCTCGGGGCGCACAGCGGGCAGAGAACCGCCGCGCGCCTCGGGGCGCACGGCGGGCAGAAAACCGCCGCGCGCCTCGGGGCGCACGGCGGGAAGAAAACCGCCGCGCGCCTCGGGGCGCACGGCGGGAAGAAAACTGCCACACGCCACGGGGCGTGCGGCACCGAGTGTAGTGGTAGGAGTTGCAGCGGAAGCTAGGAGGTGGTAAGCCCACCCACAGGATCGATCCAAGGGGATCGACCTCCTCTGATACCATGTTAAAGTTTAGAAGAAAGAAGAGGATTGCACTAGCAAGAATGAGGATACAAATAGCAAACCCTAGAAGGGTTGTACTCGCTATAGAGCACCCCACTACAGGCTAGAGCATAAGATAACATTCTGACAGAGCTCAACAATTACAGACCGATTACCCTGCTCAATTTCACCTATAAAGTCCTGGCGAGGGTGGTTGCCGACAGGATGAAGTCGGTTCTTCACATGGTCATCTCCCCGGAGCAATACGGCTTCATTCCGGGGCGGCGCCTATCAGATGCGGTGGCCTTGGTGGCTGACGTGATTGACGCCGCGAAGAACGGCAACGAGGACTGGTTCCTCCTTTTGGTGGACTTCCAGAAAGCCTTCAACTCGGTATCGAGAGACTTCCTGTTTGAAGTATTGTCCCGGATGGGTTTTCCAGCGCGCTTCGTTGGATGGATTAAGGGTCTGCATGACAATACATCAACAAAGTTGCTGGTCAACGGATGGCTGGGCAAAGGAGTAGAGGTGGCGTCGGGAGTGCGGCAAGGCTGTCCACTAGCCCCTTACCTGTTTCTCTGCGCGGTAGAGCCGTTGGCGAAGGAGGTGGAGAGACAGGAGCTCGGGTTGTCCAAGCAGGGACTGCGCTTCAACTATCTTGGTTACGCCGACGATACAACGCTGGCCCTGCAAGGAGAGGATCAGATCGTCAAGGCGGAGGAGGTACTGGACAAGTTCGAGAAAGCGTCTGGCTTGGCGACTAACAAAGCGAAATCAGTTTTATTACCTCTGGGTGCGAATCTGGGTGCGAAAGGTGGCGGCTCCAGCTGCTTCAAGTGGGCCGATGCGGATGAAGCAGAGCGGCTGCTGGGGGTCTGGGTGACACCGTCCGGAAGCGGCTTGCCGACCTGGGAAAAGGCGTGGGAACACATCATGGGGAAGTTAACAAAATGGCAGCTGAAATACCTCACGACGACAGCGAGAGCTACAGTCGTCAACTGTTACATCACTCCACTTCTGGCATTCCAAGCGCAAATTTACCCCCCACCGGTGGAGATATGGGAGGAGGTCATCAGACTGTTACTGAGTTTCACGTCGGGTAACCGCGTTGCGACGGTGAAGGGATTCATCCTCTAGAGTAAAACCCTGCTTTACACCCCAAGGGAGGCCGGGGGTATCGGTGTAAAGGACCCAGAGATCGTGATTACTTGTCTCGCGGCCAGAAGAGTGGGCCTGTATCTCACGGAACGGAACCCCATGAAGAAAGCGATCATGGCGCAGGCGGCAGACCTTCCTCTAGGGATAGACACCTTCTCCTCTCATGCGCATCTGCTGAAACATTGGAAGGGGAGAAGCATGAGATGGAAGCAAACGTATGACAGCTTCATCAACTCCCCGTTCTGTGTCCGGCCAGCGGCGGACAGCAGAGAAGCGGTCTTAAGAGAGAGGCTGGTGTTCAATAAAGCATCTTTGCTTCACACCCCTATCGGCGGACAAAAAGATAGTGCGAATCTCCTGGAAACACGCGTCGGAGAGCTGCTGGTGGATATCGGAGGAGAGCTGGTGTTGAAGCAGCAGAGGGAGCTCTCGCGCCAACTTGGTGGTAGCGGTCCGGCGAGACTTGCGGTGAAGGCGCTAGTCACCATGCCAGCGGCGTGGTTGCAACTGCTGGGTTTTCCCTCAGCTCCCCCCTGCTCGGCTGACTCTACTCCTCCGCTGAACATTCTGGAGGGTGGGGGGGTGATTCCCATCAAGAGGATGAGGGAGTGCTGGAAAACGGCCTACCAGGAGTCACGCAAGAGGGAAAAGTGGGCCAGAAGGTGGGGAAGGCACATTAACTGGAGGCGGGTGGTGACTACACGGGACTCGCTGGCCGTTCCCAGCCGTCCACGTGACGTCCTCCTCCGAATCCACGGCTTAAATTTGCAGGTGGGGGAACGCCTTGCTTTTCTCAGCGGGCAACCATCCTGCCCTTACTGCGGGGGAGAAGAAACACTGGACCACTGCCTCCTCACTTGCCCTCGGATCCAGACAGTTACCTCCGCTCTCAGGCATGCCCTGCGCATGCTGAATCCCAACCGCCCCACAGCCACGCTCAGGGACCTGCTGTTCCGGAAAACGGGTTCCAGCTCAGCATTCCCGGAGCTGAGGCTCACGTCCATCGCCTTCCATCAGCTGTGGGTTGAAAGGTGCGAAGCAGTTTTCCGAGGCCAGAAGTTTCGCACGAATCGGGTTCTCCACAAGATTGAGTTCGCATTCAGGCAGCATGCACGCATCTACACCCGCAAGTTTGGCGCGGCTCATCACAAACGACACAAGAGGAATTTCGCTGAGGAGCAGAATATGTTGGGGAAGATCAAATTGGCTGGCAAAAGCTGGAAGTGGACAAGTGCGTTTGCCGCACTGTGGTCCAGGCAGAGGGCAAGCACCTCCAGTTCGTAAATGTCTCACCTGGAACAGTAGCTCACCCTCTGTTCCTCACGCGCGGTTACGACCGTTATGGTGATATATGCTTGTTCATTTCGGTGTATATATATCATTAATTAAAAAAAAAACCATTGCCAAGATCTTGATTAGTAAGTCCTTCAGCTCCGTCACTGACTTCTATCGACATGCGCTGTACCGCAGATAACCGTTTCCCCTCCTCCGGAGTCTGTTCCGCGGAGCCGCTGAATTGGTCCGTGTATTTGACGTGCCATGGGTGATGGGATGATTCTGTATTCAGTGAAGCCGGAGTTAGAACTGCTGGATTGAGAGAAAGCTTGAACCACAACCAACTCCCCCGCGATCATTCATCTTGTCTGCTCCAATCCCAGTCGCTGCTAGCATAATGGCCTTCAGCCATAGCTCAGCCTTGCGGCGTCTTTCCGAGTCGCATCCGATCCGGTAACCTGCAGTTACGCGAATTCCGCTAGGCGTGGACGATTAGTGAGCAGACGTCGTGAACAACGACGAGTAAGCTGTTGAGCCGCGATCTGCTTGATTTTTGTTTTTTGGCGAGGCAGACGTTAAAGAAGCATAAGTGAATAAAAAACAGTCGTGAGCAGCCAATGGCCGGCAGCGGCGAGACCGGGGGAGTGTTTGGGTGTGCGCGGCGCGGATCGGGCGCCGCGCACGGGGGAGCGGAGGCCGGCGGAGGAGCCTCCGCAGGCGGAGCGGGAGGGGGATCGGCGGAGGAGAGAGCAGTTTGCGCTGGTGGTGGCGGAGAATACGATGGAAGCGGCGGGGGATTGGAATGGGGGAGCGCGCGGGAGAAGGTGGGGGAAAGAGAGGCGGCTGGTGCGGATGCGGACGATGGGGGGGAGCGGGGGGGCACTGCGAGGGAAGCTATCCGGGAGGGGGCGGAAGGGTTTGGGGGAGCGGGGGGGAGAGCTAATGGCGGAGATGTGGAGACCGGAGGGGGGGACGCAAGGGGAGGTGGGGAAGAGAGGGAACGAGCGAGGGGAGGGGCAGCAGACGGGGCGGAGCAAGAAAAGTGTGCGGGGGAGGAGGAGAAAGGGGAAGCAGAAAGAGAAAGAGCAGGAGGAGCAGGATCAGAATCAGGAGCAGATGGGGATGGAGGAGAAAGTGGGGGCGGAAGGGGAGGGGACGGAGGAGGAGGTGGAGAAGGGGAAGCAGGGGAAGGGGACGAAGCGGGAGGAGGGGTTGAGAGCGTGGCGGAGCGCATGGCGCGGCACGTGGAGGTGGTGAGGGCGGTGGAGAGGGCGCGCATGGTGGCACTGCTGAGAGCGTTCCTGCAGGCACGGCACATCAAGACAGACAGCGTCCCGTGCCTTGTGGACGAGGTGTGTGACGTTTCTCCTCACTTCCTCTCTCACTTCCTCTCTCACTTACTCTCTCACTTCCTCTCTCACTTCCTCTCTCACTTACTCTCTCACTTCCTCTCTCACTTCCTTTCTCACTTCGCTCCCTTGTGCGTGTGTGTGCATATTCGTGCTTCGTGCACCAGGGCCTGTACCTGGGGTCGATAGGCGCGGCGCACAACAGGGACCTGCTCAAGCGCAGCAACGTGACTCACGTGCTCACAGTCGCCAACTCCATCCTGCCGGCGCACCCCCGCGACTTCCATTACACGCTCATCAATGGTGAGAGTGGGGTGCGTTGGAGGGTATCTATTCACTCTCCTTCATGGCTCGCTGCCGAGGCATCCACACCCATGCCCCTACACCCCCGTGCCCCCCATCTTCATCTTTCCACCTGTCGTCCTCTCATGCTTGCATCTCTCGCCCGTCTCCCCTTCCCCCCTCCTCTCCTCTCCCGCAGTGCTCGATTCCCCCGAAGTGGACCTAATCTCCCGCTTCCAAGAGTGCTTCGCCGTTATCGACACAGCCAAGGCCACTTGTCCTCTTCTCACACTTCCATCTCTCGCCCGTTTCCCCCCTCACTACCACCTGTCCCCCTCTACTGCAGTTCTAGATTCCCCCGAAGTGGACCTCATCTCCCGCTTCCAAGAGTGTTTCGCCGTTATCGACACAGCCAAAGCAGCGGGGGGCTGTGCGCTCGTGCACTGCTTCGCCGGGCGCTCCCGCAGCGTGACCGTGGTGGTGGCGTATCTCATGGCCCGCCGCGCCATGACTGTGGATGAGGCTCTGGCGCTCGTGAGAGGGCTGCGGCCCGAAGCGAACCCAAACGCAGGGTTTGTGCAGCAGCTGAGGGAGTGGGAGGCGCAGCTAAGGGAGCAAGGGGTGCTGCCTCCACTGCCGCCACCAGTGCCATCAGTGGGGGAGGAGGCAGAAGAGGAGGTGAGGGAGGAGGTAGGAGAGGAGGTGGTGGAGGAGGGAACAGCGTGACCGTGGTGGTGGCGTATCTCATGGCCCGCCGCGCCATGACTGTGGATGAGGCTCTGGCGCTCGTGAGAGGACTGCGGCCCGAAGCGAACCCGAATGCGGGGTTTGTGCAGCAGCTGAGGGAGTGGGAGGCGCAGCTAAGGGAGCAAGGGGTTCTACCACCACTGCCGCCGGTGCCTCCAGTGCTGGTAGTGCCAGCAGGAGAGGGAGCAGTTGAGATGGGAGGTGTGGAAGGAGAGGGGGTGGGTGAGGAGGTAGGAGAGAGAGGCTTGTTGAAAGGAGGGGAGGTACTGGGTGAGAGAGAAGGCGGGGCAGAAGAGGACCGGGGGGAGGAAGGAGAGGGAGTTGCATCAGGAGGTGCAGCAGCGGGAGCAGCACCTGAAGCAGTGCGAGAAGTGCGTTACAAGTGAACGCAGCAGCGTTGGTCGGTACCACCTGTGTAGTGGAGTGGAAAGGAGTGAGCACTGGTACCGGTAGGTGAGGTTGGGTTGTGTTAGGACTCCTCCAGCCGAAAGGATTTCGCATCGCAGCATAATCCCTTAAAAGACAAGTGTGGTATTGCTAGTGAGATGAGAAGTGAAAACCAGAAGCAGCAACTCGGTTGATACAGTACCATCTCACTACCACCATCTCTCTGTAGATTCCTACTGGTAAATTGCTTGCACGGTAGGACGTACGTAGGTACGGTACACTAGGGTGCGTTGGCTGGTTGGTACCGTACCTACTGCCTGCAGGCAGGCGTGTACAGTACACTTCACTTCACAGGGTTTACTCGATATGTACAGGCTGCTGCTTCATCCACTGCTGTGGATGAGCTTGTTTGTTACCAAGTAAGCTCTTTCTTAGAGGTTGTACTGAATTTGCTAATGCTATGTAGCTTGTGAAACAGTCTCAGTTCAGCTACAGCACCTTGCCACAAATCAGTGCATTGGGATTGGCATTGGTCAATATCATGCCGTTGTTGCAAATTACCGGTAGTTGTGTTTCTCTGTGTGACGACTCTCGGTTCCTCCGTGCTGGAGTATACCAGCTCTGCACTGCGCTCACTGCTGCATGATGCAAGCAAGAGCAGCAGCGTCTGATGCAACAATCTTCCCTGCATATTTCTCTGTTTATGCGTCACAGTTTCTGCTACTACCGTATTTGATTGTAGCGTCCCTTTTCCACTTTCGGTGGTTCTAGCAAACATATTGAATGATAAAGCTGCTACAAAATTGAATGATACGGTAGTCTGGCTGCACTTATTTCTCTCATTTCCAGGCTCTGATTGATGCAGCAGACACGTTTTCTGATGCGACCATGCAATGCAACTGACCCCCTTCTCCCTCCGACTCAGCTGGTGCAGCAGCAGCATTCAGCAGTGTGGTAGCTGCTGGATGCAGCAGCTGAAGCAGGGTGACTGCAAGCAACCCTGCCACAGCAACCCTGCCACAGCAACCCTGCCACAGCAACCCTGTGCAACTGCTGTCACAGAACACAGAGGGCTATGCCGTGGCGGCACGGCACAGCAACACAGATAAATCCAGGCCCATCCCATCCGCTGCTCCGATGCGTCCACCGCCGCAAGCCACCGCACTTCACCGCACGCACCGCCATCCACCACATTCCTCTGCACCGCACTCCACTGCATGCCACCGCGCTTAACTGCACTCCAGTGCGCTCCTTCCATGCTGCAATACCTCTCACAGCATACAGATGTGATGCTTCCTTCACGTCCTGTTGCCCATGTGCTGTGTCTGAAGTTTTGGGTATAGAGAGAAAATGATGGGTGCGAAAGGATGGAAAGAAGGCCAAAAGTGTGGTTCGGGTATGGAAGGAAGTGGGGAAACGGGGAGAGAGGAGGAGAGGCAGATGGAGGGGAAGTGTGAAGGATTGCCCAGGGGGGAACATGGGAGAAGGAGGGAACAAGAGCAAAGAACAAAACTGGGATCCGTGCATGAAGGATGTTTGGAGGCAGACGTAGGAGTAAAGGAAAAAGCACAACTAGGGAAAAAACTCGCATGTACCTGCACTTGCTGTTGCTGCTGCTGCTGCTGTGTGTACTGCTGTTGCTGTTGCTGCGATTGCATCTGCTGCTGCTGCTGCTGTAATGGCTGTATGTTTGCTGGTGGCACCTGTTGCATCACAGATTGCAACACGCAAAAAGCAAACACAAACCAGCGTCGCCACGCACACTTTAAGTCTCAGGCACAGGGTGCTCAAACTTCGTGTACAAACAAAGCAGATTCAGCAAGGCCAAGGGTGTGATGCGATCACTGCAATGGCTTCTGAGAATTCTCAAAAGTCAATTGGGGAAGCCTAGGCTGTGATGCAATCACTAGAGGGGAGTGTGTAGCACACTCCACGCTTCAGACTTGCCTATGACTCGAGAATGGGCAATCGAGACTCATGCATGCAGGGCCAAGCCCATGAATTTGAGCATGGGATGGATCATGGAAGCACGGCCACCGAATCAGAGCAAGCAAGCGGTACGGTGACTGAGCCGTACAGTGACTGAGCCGTACAGTGACTGAGCCGTACAGTGACTGAGCTGTACGCACCATGACTTGGGTCACGAACTGGCACACGTCACACTTGACGTTAAATGCACCCAGCTTTCGAGTCGACTCTGGAATCACCTAAGTAGTCAACTCAGAAATGAGTTCACTTAAACAAGTAGCACGCACCATGACTTGGGTGACAAATTGGCACACGGCGCACTTGACGCTGCGTGCACCCATGGCGTATACGAGCGTCATGCCACAGCCCCCACAGTTGATGTGCGCCACTTGGTTTGCTGCAGGGTGGGGGGCGAGAGAAAGCAACAGAGAGTGCATTGTGAGAGGGAGTCACTGAGTGGATGAAGCAGCAGAAGTGCACATCCCTTGTGCATACACGAGCGTCATGCCACAGCCCCCACAGTTGATGTGCGCCACGTGGTTTGCTGCAGGTCGGGGGGGAGAGATTGGGGAGAAGGAGAGGGAGGAGGAGGGGGAACGAGAGAGAGGATGGGGTTGTGCAGAAGGTGTGTGGAGGAAACAATAGAAAGTGCAGGTTCTCAGTGCATGGGGGAGCGTCATGCAATCGCGGGAGCAGGAGAGGGTGACGGAGTAGGGACGGGGCAAAAACTCCGAGGGTGAGGGAGAGTCAGTGTGTTGGAGGAGGCAACAGGAGGTGCATCCCATCGCCGATGCAGGCAGTGCGGACCAGGCATGCAAGCAAGCCAGGGCACCCCTGTGGCACGAGCAGGTGGCTGTGCAGAGCAGGTGGGAGAAGGTGGGAGCGGGTGGGAGCACGGGTACGCTGTGGAGACACGGTGGGAGCAGGTGGACGTAGGAGTTAGACTCACGGTCGGAGGAGAGGTTGACGGTGTGGCAGCAGGAGCACTGCACGCTAGTGGCGCCCCTCACGTACATGAGCAGCGTGCGACAGCCCCCACACACCAGCTGCGCCATCTCCGTGCCTGGTATGGAGCAGCGGGCGGAGGGGCATTCAGAACGTGAGTGGGCAGTGCAGAGCATTGATGACATGAGGAACCCATGAGGACATGGGGTGCTACTACCCAACATGTGGCTGGATTTGAATCAGACCTACCCAACCACACTCAACCCACTTGTAATGCTGGTACTACCGGGGGTCATGGTGCTGTTGCAACGGGCATGTGACTATCACACAGCTCAATCAGAAAGCAGGAAAGTTTACCGACCCAAACCGAACTGAACCAGGACGTCACCTCACCTGACCAAACCTGACTTGATCTGACCGGACCTGACCTGTTATGGCCCGACCTGACCTGCTTGCGGCACGGGCGTGATGGTGCTGCAGAGCGCGCAGCGGACGTTGGAGGCGTTGTTGGGGTAGACAAGCAGCGTGCGGCACCCCGTGCACACGATCTGCGACTGCGCTGCTGCACGGCAAGGAGGGAGGGGATAGGGAAAGTGGGAAGAGGGGAGGGGAAGGAGGAGAGGGGAGGCGTTGGCGGCGTTGTTGGGGTAGACGAGCAGCGTGCCGCACCCCGTGCACACAATCTGCGACTGCGCTGCTGCACGGCAAGAGAGGGGTGTGGGGGGGGGAAGGGGGAGAGGAGTGAAAGGGGGCACGGAAAAGGAGAGAGGGGAGGCGTTGGGGTACACGAGCAGCGTGCGGCACCCCGTGCACACAATCTGCGACTGCGCTGCTGAAAAGAGGAGGGGGGTGGACCAGGGGAGAGGGAGATGGTAAGGGTGGTGGGGGAAGAAAGAGGGGAAGCCTCTCCCTCACTTCATCTCTCTCCCTCACCATCTCTCTCCTAAACGCCATCTCTCTCCCTCGCACCATTTCTCTCCTAAACGCCATCTCTCTCCCTCGCACCATTTCTCTCCTAAACGCCATCTCTCCCCCTCTCACCATTTCTCTCCCTCTCACCATTTCTCTCACCCCGTCTCTCTTCCTCTCACCGTCTCTCTCACTCTGTCTCCCCCCTCACCTGGCTGAGCGGGTGACTGCACGGGCATGGGGTTGCTGTTCGGCTGCTGCATATACTGCATCACAGGCCCCGGCTGTAGCATCCCCCCCGGACCAGGGCCCATGCCTTGGCCCATCGGGTGACTCATTCCGCCTTGACTCGCGCCCTGATTCATGCCTGGCTGGCCCATGCCCTGGTTCACGCCGTGAGTCACGGCGTGGTTCACGCCCTGGTTCATGCTCTGAGGCATGGGTTGAGCCATGGGTTGCGCGGTGGTAGCAGGGCGGACGGAGAGAGGAGCCGACGCGGTGGGCGGTGGGAGCAGGTGGGAATTGGCGAGGAGGCGGAGGAACGGCTGAATGCGGTATCAAGCAAGGGAACGGCGTTAGGTGAGGTTGAGAGGGACGGCCATGCACCGGGGGATGCACCAGAGGAGCCTCCCGTGCTGCCACCTATCCTCCCGTTGACACTCGCTGTTTGTGTAGTAGTCGCGACTTCCTACCCCGTCACTGACCGAGAAATTTCAGGAGCGTGCGAACTCTGAGCAGAGTCAGGATTGACAGCCGGCTTGCCTTAAGAGCAACAGCCCGTAATTCGTTTACAGTGATGCGTTTTTAAGCGTAGTGGTGGGTACTTTTCCGGTGAGGTAAGACCGGGCAAAAGCGTCTCGAGGAGGTCGACGTAGTGCAAGAGAGCTCACTACAGATTCTCCGTTTACGTTAGTGCAAGGACACGGAACGCTTGAAGAGTTTGTTGCGTGAGTACAGCGAAGTTATCGACGAATTAGGTGAGAGTTTGCCTGACGGAAAACGTTCTCTCTGTGGAAATCAGAAAATCGACGTCAACTGAATCTGCATAGATGAGACTAAAGACGTACTTTCGCTGCTCACTGTGCACACTGATTTCACGACCTGGATTCTAAGGACTGGCCTTCAGCAACCAAAATATCGTGTTACTGAACACAGCACAACTGATCCGCACGGGTTCAACTCCTCGCGCAAGAATCAGTTCTCAATAGCATTGTGGCCATGTCATGTCGTACACCGTTTCTTCCAAGCCATGGCATGTGCTGCTGCCCTGACCAGGAAAGAAAACCAGAAATGAGATTTGAAAAGCAGAAGGACTGCTTGCTCTGGCCCTTGATTTTACACCATTCTGTCCTTGCCTTGCCTTGGCCAATCAATCCACCTTGAGACTTTAACTCTGCTGCGGTACTGGTGCATGTCTTTCATCTCCTATCATCTGCATCACGTCGCGTCTATGATCTTTCACCGCTTCTAGATTTGTCGCTGGAGTGCGATGCTGTGCATTCCGAAGCGACGTTTCTACGGTTCTTTACGCTTGGGTAGGGTTTCTACGTTACTACGGTTTTTTCAACTCGTCCCAAATGACGAGGCCTGAGGAAGCTCGTTTGTTCCACACATGCGACGTCGAGATTTGCATCTTGGGAATTGATCTCCTTACACTGCTGTTTGCCCGCCCAAACAGATCATGATGATGAGCCTGTGTAGTTGTCAACAGAGGATTGGACGCGATTTCAGTGTTTGGAGATGGACGTGGCCATTGGGGGCACCCTGGAACTTTCAGCACCGATATTCCACGTGGTAGGGAAAGGAAGCCAGCCCTCGAGTCAGGGAGCGACACGGTAGATTTGAAAAGGACATTTCTTGAGGGTCAATCTCAAACAAGCTGCTTACCTGGCATGTGAGTTTCTTTTTATGGTTTACGTCAGCATGATCCATGTCGATGAGCACTTCTGGTATCTTTTTACTTGTCCCAGCAACTGGCATGTTGCCTGTCGTGTCAAAGTGGATGAGGCACCAAATCGCGCCACATGGCACAGGAGTTTTGCCCAGCCACTCTCACCCAAGCATTTCGCTAGGCCAGCAAGTATTTCCAGAACTGTGGGAGCAAATGGTCACACTGAAACAGGTATGGGTACGAGCAAGGATTACTGCTTCGATTCAGAATATCCTTTCTCTACAAAATGAAAACAGACTACTTCAGTAACCGTGAAGCGGGCATCTTATTGTCGAGGGAACTGGAGTACTCACTATTAATCATGGCATTGCATCAGTTTGAAGCCATGCCAAACACCAAATGAAGCCACTAAAAGTAAAGGCTAGTTGGTTTAATTTATCAGTTTTGCAGGCTAACCCTCTATTGTCGTTGTACACTAGCGCTAATGGTGCCTGCAATAGGCACCTCATACCAAGCCACCTCACACAAAAGCACCAATATCAGAAACACAACCTCACGACCAACTCAAACGCCACCTTCCACCAACCACCTGTAATCCATGTAACCTACTCAGGCCTCATTTTCAATCACTAATGCCCAGGTTTCCCAATCCGGCCCAGATTGCCCACCCTCCTTGCAAGGCCACTAGTCCTGTTGTTAGCCACCAAGCAGCATCTCCTGAGCCCTCTCCTGGCCTCACCAAAGCTCCAACCCCCTTCATTCCCATCCCCGCAGCAGCAACCAGCAGCAGATAGCAGCCAAACAGCAGCTCTGGCATAAACGCAGTTCCTGCTTTTCTCACAGTTGCTTCTTGTGCTGCCAGTGCTGCTGCTACTGCAGCTGCTGTGGACGGAGCAGAGAGAGACATCAACTCCACTGTCGAGGGTTGTGGGGAGAGAGGGGCAGGAGAGGATGGAGCAGAGGAGGTGGTGGAGGAGGAGAGGGAGGGAGCACTGGAAGAAGAGGAAAAGGAGGAGCATGATGCTGCTGACGTCATGGATGCATCGCGGCTTGCCTTACTAGCCCGCTTCGGCCGCAATCTCAGCTCCCGTTGCCCAATAGCACTCTCCCTTTCACCCTCCTCTGAATCATGTGCCTCCTGTTCCTCTGTATCCCCCTCTTCTCCCCCCTCCTCCTCACTCGTTTCACCCGCACTCAGCAAAACCTCCTCCTCGCTCGTCTCCTCTTCCCCCTCACCCTCCACATCCCCATGCGCCTCCTCCTCTCCTTTCGCGCCGCCCGCGCCGCGCCGGCCCAGCTTCTGAGTTACGTCCCACGTGTGCGAGCTGGATAGGTTGAGCAGTCCTGCCACCGTGGCGTACGCGCGCAGCGGGAGGAGCGCGCCGAGGAAGAGGAAGTACGCGGGGAGCAGGCGGAGCTTCGAGGGGGAGAATGCGAACAGGCAGAGCGGGTACACCAGCACCAGCGCAGCCATTGCCCAGGGGAAGGGGAACGCGGAGGCGGAAGCGGAGGCGGAGGAAAAGGCGGACGGAAGCGCGGAGGAGAAGAGATACGCGGGCAGGACGAAGAGCCAGAAGGAGATTCCTATCAAGTGGCGGGCAGCCCGGCGAAGAAACATGTAGATCCCCACGAAATACAGCTTAGCGGGCCAGCTTAGCGCGGACCGCTCCGCGGTAAGCACCACCCCGCCGCGCAGCCGCAGCAGATTCGCGGGGCCGCTCGTCCACCGGTGCTGCTGCTTCCTGTACGCGCCGTATCCCGCGGGGACCTCGCTCGCGCATTCCACGGTGGGCTCGAGCCGCATGCGCCATCCCTTCGCCGCGGAGCAGACCGCGATGTCCATATCCTCGACGGTCGTGTCGTCGCGCCAGCTCCCCGCGTCCGTGATTGCCGCTGTGCGCCACACGCCCGCGGTGCCGTTGAAGCCGAAGCACTGTAACGCGGATGAGCTGAACAGCTGCTCCGCTAAGAAGTGCCACTTGAGCTCCACGGCCTGCAGACGCGTTAGTAGGCACTCCGACTCGTTACTAAACGCCCAGCGCGTCTGCACGAGCGCGAGCTGCGGGTCGCGCGCGAGCGGCGCGACGGAGCGGAGGAGCCAGTCGGGGGAAGGCTCGAAATCCGCGTCGAGAATCGCGACGAACGCGCATGCGCGCGCGTACGGCTCCGTCAGCCCCTCGCGGAGATTCCCCGCCTTGTACCCCGTGCGGTCCGTGCGGTGGCGGTACCGCACGTCGATGCTTCCGCCGAAGCTGTTCCGCGCGCCCTTGCTCGCGCCCCCGCACCTCAGCTTGCTCCGCCACCGCGCAACCTCCGCGCGCATTCCGCGCGAAATCTCCGCGTCCGTGCTATCGTCTAGCACCTGCACCACGAGCCGCCCCCGCGGCCACTCCAGATTACACGCCGCGGCGATCGCGCGCGCGTACACCTCGCGCTCGTTGTACATGGGCAGCTGCACCAGCACGGCGGGCCACGTGGACGTCGCGGGGAGCGCGCCGCCGGACGCGGCGGACGCGGCGGCGCCATCCCAGTCGCAACCGGCGGACGCAGCGACGCCCAAGTTAACCGCCATGCTGTTACCACTCTCCTCCCACACGTCACCACTGCCAACAACCGCGCTATCTACCCCGTTAGGAGCCGTAGTAGCTCTCTTATTAGCTCTGGCGCGAATTGCGGCTGCTGTCTGCAGGCGCTCTTGCCGTCGTGCCCTGTGCCAGAGCACGAGACCGGAGAGCGTGAGCAGTAGCGAGTCGAGCAGCAGTAGCGCCGCTATCGGCTCGCACACGCCGCGGATAAGAACCACGGCGAACAACCACGCGATTCCGCCGCCGGCGGCGGCTGCGGAGGAGAAAGAGGAGAACGCCGAAATACTTTGACGGACAGATTTGACGAGTCCAGCGGCTGCGGCGGAGACGGAAGAAGCGGAAAACGCGGCGGAGGATGCGGAGATGGGGTTCGGGGAAATGCGGAGGAAGAGGAAAGCGAGCAGCTGGCCATGTGTGATGATCATGACGAAGAGCAAGATCGGGAGGAGCGGCCACCACAGGCGACCGAGCGACTGCGCGCGACGAACCCAGGGACCCTGGTTTAAATCGGCGGGCCGCTTGCACGCGCCCACCTTTCGGCCACAGCCGTCCCCAGCTGCTGGCGCGATAGCCGCGCCCATTGTTGCGCGGACTTCCGCTTCCTGCTGGCGGACGGGCGAGCGCGGGTTGGGTGCGCTCTGAAGGCTATGCGTCTCCAGGTTATGCTGATAGTCCTCTCCGCGCAACCTTCGTCGTGGAAATACTATCAGGAATACGCTGGTGAAGCAGGGCTAGAGGTAATCGCGAGATGATTGTGAGACGGCTGATTGTGGTCGGACTGTCGCTGGGTGCTGCGTGCCTCGCAGCCAATAAGATGCGACACAAAAGTGCGCTGGAATAAAGCCTTATTATTCGCTGGGACGTGACTGGACGTAACTGTTATTCGCGGGCTACTAATGCTGAGAAGCGAGCTGCTAAAGGGACTTGCATGAGTATAAGCTTAGCTTATTAAAATAAGCGGGAATGATCCGCCGCGAGCACAGCAGCTGCGGGACCAGAGGGGATAGATGGTAGTTAAAGGAACTACCAGCTGTCGTACTAGACAACTAAAAATCACTCTCTAGTGGAAGAATCCTAAGTTGGAGAGACATGCTCTAGCTTGCACAGTCTATTTGGCAGGCACACAGCTCAAAAGAGTGCAGAATGGTGGCTCTCTATACCTGGCATCATTGACTGGGGTGGGTCCGATGATTCAGCATGCTTGCGTCATGGTCAGCTTCCTTGCTGGTCTGCTCTTTCGAGAGCTTGCAGGCATTCAACTCCATTCAGCAGCGCGCGAAAAAAGAACAGGCAGGGGAAGGAATTATGGGATGGGTTGGGATGGGAGGGCAGTGGAGGAAAAGGCGCCTTTCCGAATTGCGCCTGTTTCCCGCACTTCCTCCGTGCGACACGCTGACGGCGACACGACGAGTTCCTTTCCGACGCGAAAGGGAATTAGGAATTGCGAGCTGCGAAGTCAGGGAGCTGGTTGCTGGCGAAGGAGGGTAGTGAAAGTCCGCTCACTCCACAGATTGCCTGCGACACTGGATGGACCTTCATCGGTCGCAAAAGCGCAAGAGAACTGTCGTCGGGCGTCAGACGACGAATGGTTCAGTGCAGACGACAAGGATGGTTCGTGGCGCTGAGTCGCACAGCCATCCAGTTGTGCCTGCGCCAGTGAAGGGGAGCGTAACCCCACAGACACGGGGTCAAGCCTGACGTGTACTCCGTCGAGAGCGGCTTTGTGCGACGATTTCCCCCACACCTTCAACCTTCTGGAGAATTCTGATTGGTTACACGACCTTTTTAGTTCGGGTGCTCCAAATCAGCAATGCGTCGGCAATCCGAATGAGCACCTTCTTGACGGAAGTTTCGTCAAACCGACGCCCATCTGACACAAGCGACGCCGCTTGAATCAACGGGCAGGTCCTGTGTGTCAGTGGCAGATGAATTTGAGCCCAGCGAGACGAAACGAGCCGTTGAAGGCAGCTTGCGGGGAGCGAAAGAGGGGTGAACTGGAAACAACCGTCAAATTCGAGTTTCCGATATTTCTACCATTTCAAGGCAGTGTGATGACCTGGAGCTCGCTGTACGGAGTGGATAAAAATCATTTCGACGGGAGTGATTGGTCCAATGCGGAACACTCGTGGAACATGATATCGGAACGGAGGTACGTGAGTCATTATCTCCGATTGAGTGTGGATATCCATATGCTTGGGGCTCGCATTTATAGACAAAAGAACTTCGACTTGGGTCTGCTTATAGCCCTTTAGTCTGACATGAATAAAGAAATTCAAGTGAAATAGCTACACAAGATGAAACTCTCTGGTGGCAATTTGGAGCCCATCACCTCAACCCCTGCACATGCCTAGCTGAAGTCACTTTTTGATAAGTGTAGACTGTGCCAGCAGCACCCAAAGTACCTACCTTGGCCTTGGTCCAACCAACCTGACACAGTTAGGGCTCCCACTCTGGTTCAACATTGTTTGTAATTTACTGGTACGTTACTACTACGGTTCTAGACTTCAATTTAAGGCTGCAATAATTTGCCTACACGGTATTGCCCTTTCGACAAAGTTCCGGGCAAAAACGGTACATCTGGTGACCGCAACTCCCCTCCCCAACGGAGGCCTGTCAGGAGGATTAATCCTGGTCAGTGCGGCACCGGGCATGCATTCTTACCATACCATACCAGGACAAAGTGCCCACAGAAAACAAGACAATGCATCCAATTACATTACCACCAGCTTAATTTTGATGAGTGTGGCGGCTGGACCTCTCCACCAGGAAACACAATGCCATCAGAGACCCAGTGTTCAGATCAGATTGGGTACCGTAGCTTAAATGCTCCAAATAGCAGCATAATCCAAGGGCAATCACAGCAGCACCACGAGTCACGACCCTGCCCACCCCCAACCTATCAGACAGTAGAAGGTGCTTATTTCTTACAATATGCTGAACATTTCAGACAACGCATGATGTACCCGCTTCATGCTAGATCACACGGAAAGATTGATACTGGAAGCCCAATGGAGTCAACGCTGTAGCATGGGGAGGCAGGGAATGGACGCAAGAAAGCAATAACAAAGAACAGAATGCTCAGCCTGTAATGTCACTGTGGATCCAAACTGAACATGACAATAGCGGGAGCCTAAACCACAACAGCATCAATGAGATGAGCAAAGGCGAGGCTAAACAGTTCATACCCGAGCACGTGTTTCCTCCACCAGCCGCTTGTCACGCGCCTCCATGGCGTAGTCCCATGCGTCCGAGTTCGGGTGCTTCGGCTGCACTCACCACGCATGGCAACGCACCCATCGCACGCATCGTACACACCCCACGCATCGCAACCACCAATAATTCCCCATACGCATGACACGCCCAGGACAACAAGAAGGGAGAACCGATACCACTGTCACCAACGGTGCGCATCGAACCCTGAAGGTGGATCCATGAAAGTTGACATGCAAGCAGTAAGTAGTTCCGTCCCAAGTGAACCACCTCGCACAAGTAAATGGTTCCGTCCCTACAACACACGGATCTGGACTACCCTTGTTGCGCAACCCAGACCAACTATCAGCCTTCCTCCTCGGGCCGATCCCTCGAACGAAAGCCGTGGAATAGAGGAGCCATTTAGCGACAGCGGCTCGAGAGCCCCAAGTCGTGCAAATCCAGCCCTAAGTTTCTATATTAGGGTTACCTACAAACGATGATTTGGCCGCGACGCGCGAGCCCCCATTCCAAATTACAAACATAGGAATGGAACGGAAATTAGGAGGCCTTCTTAAAGAGGTGTACCTTGCCGTACAGGGTCCGGTTGACAAGGTGCTGGATGCCACCCGCGGCGCACAGCATCGACGCGATCAGAACGAATGGAGGGAGCGATTCGTACGGCATGTTTACCACCGACGGTATGATGGAGTGAAGATGGTGCGAGCGATTTGTCGGATATTAATTCGGGAACGACCGTCGGCGGCGTTGCAGGCGATGAAGGCGGGGGTATGGGCTGTCGTGGGACAAAGACACGTGATGGTTTGCGGGGCCTGTTCGTGTGGAACTGTTGTGGGGGTTCTGAAATAGTTGGCTGATCAACAGTATAATTGGAACAAGATGTTATTTGAATAAAAGCAACACAAAGCACTCATATATAGGAGGCTGTAAGGAAATTTCCATTTCCTTACGCCGCATCCCTGCTTAGCACGTACATCACTGTAGCACCACAGTCAGCACCGTTACCACTCGCAAACCCTCGCTTCGACAATCTTCCCGCCACCTTCGCACGTCGCACCCCGACCTCGCGGCTCGGCGAGTAACCCGCGCTCCGGGCCTCCGCCTCGACATTCTCCAACCACAGTCCTGAGAAGAATGAAGAACGAGGATGAATGAACTATGAATGAGGTGAGTACATATAGAAAACCCTAATTGGGTTGTACCCCCTATGGGATACCCCACTATAGCCTACACAACAGCATAAGCTATATAATGTTCTGACACACCCCCATAGGCAAAGTGGGGGAGAACAAGGGGTCACAAGACCAGTCAAGCAAAGCAGAGCAAGCTCAGGGTGGATCACAACGTCACCACACAGTCCGAGCACAACGACAAGGCCACAAGGCCAGTTCACATGCAGGAGTACACATATATATATAGAGCTAGACAAGCAAGAGCAGGTATATATATGTGACAGTACAAGTAAGGTCAAGAGGAGAGCAAGTGAGGCAAGACAGGTACAAGACCCAGCTGAGTGCAGAAGCGCTGATGGTCACAAGGCGCAAGTGCCTTGGTGAACACATCAGCAGTGTTGGCCTGAGAGGCCACGTACGCAAGTCGCAACTGACCACGCTGCTGCAGCTCACGAGCAAGAAAGTAACGGAGAGCAATGTGCTTCGTTCTGTGCTCCAAGCGCTGCTCTCGACACAAGGCCAGCATGGCCTTGTTGTCTACGTACAGCACTGGAGGAGAACGAGGCGGCTCTCCAAGGTCAGTCAGCAGGTAGGTGAGCCAGCGAAGCTCCTGTGCAGCCATGGCCCCGGCGTAGATCTCAGCCTCACAACTGGAGCCGAGAACAGAGGACGAGCGAGTAGCTCGCCACGAGACAGAGCCGGAACCAAGACTGAAGGTGTAACCCTGCGACGACCGCTGCGTAGCCTGGTCGTCAGCCCAAGAAGCGTCCGCGTGCCCAGTGAGGACCACTGGACTCCGCCCTCCAAGCACTAGTCCCATGCCCGACGTACTGCACAAGTATCGCAACACCCTCTTCGCTGCAGCCATGTGCTCTGGTCGGTGTCTCCCAGGAGCAACATAGCGTGCAAGAATGCTAAGAGGGTATGCAAGGTCAGGTCGTGTGCAGGTCATCAGGTACATGAGGCAGCCAACAAGCTCTGGATACGGGCCACTCGACTCTACTGACTCATCCGAAGGCAGAGCTGAGAGTGAGTGGCGAGTAGGCAGAGGAGTGGCCTGAGGCGAGGAGTACGTGAAGCCGAAGCGCTGAAGGACCTGCTGCACCATGTGTGACTGAGTCAGGGTAATGGTGCGGCGTGCTCTGTTCCGGGTGATCTGCAAGCCAAGGTAGCTGCGCAGTTCACCCAGGTCTGTGCAC